CACACTCGTTGCATCGACCCCCCCCCCCCTCTCCTCCTCATTGGCTCATTGTCGACAGACGGTGGGAAGCGGAGGAGTAGAACAGCGGAGGGGGGGGGGCACTAAGCGCGATCTAAGTGTGTGTGTGGGTGCGTGTGAGTGTGTGTGTGCGTGCGTGTCTGTGTGAAAATGTGTGTGTGACTGTGTGTGTGTGTGTGTGTGTGCGTGTGTGCGTGCGTGTGTGTGTGTGTGTGTGTGTGTGTGTGTGTGGTGTGTGTGTGTGGATATGGACTGCCTCTGCATTGTCACCACCAAGGTAAGAGCAGAGCGCCACACATCAGCATGCTCATGTGTGTCTTTAACATAAGCCGGCTGTATTTACACGTGTGTGCGTGTGTTTGAATGCGTTAACTAGAACATACCACTTGTGTGTCTTCCACTTCCTGCTCCTCGCTCGGGTCACACAAATGTCGGAAGACGGCGCCGCCGGCTGTTTCCGGGTCACGCTAGTCGCCGAATGCTAAAGTTCGTGTTGTAACTGTGTGTGTGTGTGTGTGTCCCCACCCTCGCAGAAGTATCGTTACCATGACGACGACGACGACCAGCCAAGCCCTGGAAACGTGACCGACGGACACGCCCCCGAGTTCGGGCGCGCACACCTGGACACCCTCGCACGGCCTGCAGCGCTCACTGTACGTACTGACACACACATGCACATGTATTTCTGCTTGTCGCCATAGCAATGGGCAAGAAATGGAGGGTGGGGGGGGGTCTCCATGGCAGCAATATTTTGTGTGTGTGTGTGTGTGTGTGTGTGTGTGTGTGTGTGTGTGTGTGTGTGTGTGTGTGTGTGGGTGTGTGTGGGGAGGGGAGGTGATTCCTGGCATGGGTGGGGGAGGGGGCAGAGAGAGAGAGAAGAAACGCAGCAGTTGAGTTGAGCGCGGGGGAGGATGAGGATGAGGATGACGAGCGCCGAAGAGCGTCGTCTTCTCATCGCTGGATTAGCTCGTTAGTCTTTTTTTTTTTTTTTTCCCTGACTGGGATGAGCCAAGTTAACGATCACGGCAAGACCTAACGAGGGTGCTCGATCGTTCATCCGTCACTCCTCCATCTTTATGTAAGCCCCCAAGCCCACTATCCCTCCCCCTTACCGCGAAGGGGGCAAGACGCTGCGTAGACAGGAAGTGATGTTTGTGTCGGTGTGGTACGCCAAGAAGATGGGACGTCGCTTCATCAACAACGTGCGCAGAGCCAAGAGACACAGACAGAGGATGATGGTAACGTTACGAGTTCACCTTTTACCCAACCCGACCAATCAGTGGGGCGGGGATAATCGCCCGGCTTGTCGGTTGCTTCGGTCAGCATCACGGGCAGCGTGGTGTAGGGGTGATTTGCGCGTCTGCCAGGCAGTTCTGAGGTCGGGGTTTGAGTCCCCCTTCTGTGTGTGGTTTGACGGTACCGGCTTCCTCCCACATTCCAAAAAGCTGCAAGAAAGCCGCCTCCTCTTCATCCTCCTCATTGTGCGATAAACGTTCATTTTTGACCTCCACGCGCACGCACTCACGGAGGTGTCATGGGAAACTGAGTGTGAAGTGTAACTAACATCGCTGTTACATAATCACAGACTCCACAACCTCCTCCTCCTTCTCCTGGACATAAAACGTGTCATCTCCTCATCCTTCCACCTGCCGCACACCCGTTCTGCTCCCCGATCAGGTCAGGATTTGTTACCTCTGCCAAGCATGAAGCGTCAGTCAACCCCTGGAAGCAGCGAAAATCCTCCCAATAATTGACACTCCCCCTAAAAACGATCCTAAGTGCCCGTGTTAATAATTTAAACTGTAAATATACCGCGAGCGATGATCCCCAAACACTTAAATATCATTTTAAGATTGTTATTTTGACATTAATCTGAAAGAATAAATCTCAGATGAGTGCAAAAATTTAAATTCACCTCAGTTCAAAGGAAGCAGCAGAGGCTTCAAGCTGTTTGATGACACACCCAGTTGAAGTTTACTGTCAGAGTAAAAAACGAAAGTGAATTACACTTTGTGTATTCTACACAAAACAACAAATTTGGCTTAAAAATGATGCCACTAGCTTAATGCTAACACTTAATGGAAAACACCAAAGACCAGCTAATGGATAGCCTATAAGCAACACAAATGGTGCAGCCACACATGTAGGCAGACAATTTCACAAAACTCACGGGCATATATTCCTTAGCCTCATCATCATCATCATCATCATCATCATAATAATAATAACTTTGCAGCAGCTTCCTGAGGCACACTGCAGTAGATGTAAAACTATAATTCACTTATGTCTGCATGATTCTATCATATTGCCACCGAGGCGCATCACCATGAATGAAATCGAAGCATTACATTGTGATGCACAAACTATTTAATTCTTTTAAATTTAGTTTGTTTTGGACAAGGGCTATAAAATAGAATGCTAGTGAACATACTACACATCTTAAAGTTCTTTTTATGTGAGGGAGATTTACGTTTAACCTGGGTCGTTAGTGGAGAGGCTTTTCCACATGTCTTTGTCATGTAGTCATATGAGTTTGAAATTATGTTTTAAGTGTTTCGCTCTCGTCGTTTATTGTTTAAACTATTCATACAGGCATTTATGAATATTTTTAAAGGGGTGTCACTTCCTCTAGTTTTTTTTTTTTTTTTTTTTTTGCTGCCCTCCCACAAATCGCGTACACCGGGAGCGCCATCTCCTGCCTCGTTGCACAAGCCGCACGCAGGACAGGCGGAAGTGATGTCATAGCAACGGCCAAGACTCGGGAGAGAGAGAGACTCGCTACGTCCGCCTGGGCCCTGAAGGCGACTGTTGCCATGGCAACCGGTCGTCAGAAGTGTGCGCGGGGGGGGGGGTGGTCGTAGGCTGTTTTGCGCCGAATGTGATTTAACCCTTGGTGTGATTTCGCAGATGAACGGATCCGAAGGAGAGTTGGAGTATGAGGAGATCACGCTCGAGAGGGTAAGCATGCACGTAC